GTCCAGGGTGTCCCTGTGGTGGACTGGAGACATGTCCAGGGTGTCCCCCACCTGTAATCCAGTGACTGCTGTAAATGGCATCAGTGACCTCGGTGACCCAGAAAGGGAGAAGTGTGTAAAGATGGATGTCGTATAATAAACTGATACAACTGATCTCCACCTGGTCGTGACTTGGATCAGATGGTGGGGGAAGATGCCAGACAGACCTGGTAGACCCAAACGGGTCTGAGGGTTTTCTGGGAACGCCTGGCAGAAGAAACTGTCAGAGAGATCTTTAACCACGTCCCAGCTGAGAGAGGGGGCATCGAGTCCGAGTGGGCCATGTTCATCAAGTACGGAGGAGGCTGCAAGGTTGTTGGTGTTTCTCACGGTGGCGTCCTGGACTGTGTGGTGGACACCCCGGGTCAGGGAGGCTGTCAAGCTCAAGGAGTCCTTCAGGCCTTGTTGGCTGGTGGGACTCCAGAGGCAGCTGAGGAGTACCTGAGGGCCAAGCGGTCCTCAGCCTTGGCTGTTGCTGAGACAAAAGCTCAGATGTGGGAGGAGTTTGCTGAGACCTTGGATAAAGACCCTCAGTCAGCTCCGAGGAGAATCTGGTAAACCATCAGGAGGCTGAGGAGGAGAAGCAGCTCTTTACTAACTCATCTTCTGCACGGCTCCGACTCAGCCCTCCACAGAAAGATCCCTGTTCCACCAGTTCAGGACCTTGTTGGGTTCCTGCTTCTCTGGTGGGAGCGTTGGAGCTGAGTCGAGACAGAACCATGACGTCAGAACGCTGTCAGTCACTGACTGGTCAGGGGGAGGAGTCAGGGGGAGGAGTCACTGGATCTCAGAAACTTTTCAGCGATCCTCCATTTGCAATTTGTCAGAACTCGGAGCAGCAGCTGGATCTATTTTAAGATTTTAAAAACGATGATGACATCGCCGTGTTTAACGCTGAAGTCCAGGTGGTTTTTGTGTTTGGTGACCGACGACAAAATCTGAGCGAGCGGAGTCACCGCGGAGGATCATACGAGCTGCAGACCTGTTGAAGCCCGCGAGGCCGGACCCTGAGCCCCGGCAGGCGGGAGGACCGGGAGGACCGGGAGGACCGGGAGGACCGGGAGGACCGGGACTCTGTGACGGAGGATGGAAACTTAAAAAAAACATTTCATGTATCAAAAATAATGTTTTTATCAGTGAAGAATAAAATTAATAAACGGTGCCGGCTTTATCATGAAATCCTGTTTTCACTTGGACTTTATTAAATAATCTGTTAATTAAAGTTAACTCAGCTGAAAAATCATCAAAGACACAAAATGACTGGATGTCAGGAATATTTCCCTGAAACATGTTTAAAGAAGAGACGCAGCCTTTAGTTCAACTTTATTCTAACACACACACGTGCAACTCACTAAACAAGAACTAAACTTTAAATCACTCAAATAAAATCTGCATACAAGAAACAAAAGCACATTTCTAAATTAAACAATAAAAGTAGACACTATGATACATCAAATGATGAAGAAAAATATGGAATTTTAAATATTATATAATTTTAAATATAGATGTTTTTGTAGAATCTGCTTCATCTGATTTAATTCAGTTTATAAATCTCCAAGTCACAACAGAAGTGTCTCAGGGACTGAATGTATAAATGTATTCATGTATAAAATAATAATTGAACAGAAACATTCATGTATAAAATAATAATTGAACAGAAACATTCATGTATAAAATAATAATTGAACAGAAACATTCATGTATAAAATAATAATTGAACATTGTTTATCTGAGGAGCAGCTTTGACTTGAACTCATCACTGGGTGAACTAAAGTTCATTAAAAGTTCATTTGCAGGATTTTGGATCGAAGGTGCTGACCTCAACCAGTGATGTCATCAGGAGGTGGAAGGAATACTTCTGGGACCTTCTCAGTCCCACCAGCACGTCTTCCATGGAGGGAGCTGAGTCGGGGACTTTAGACTGGTCCGTGTGTAACTGTGTCTGAGGAAGTTAAAAGCTCCGAGGTGGCAGGACTCCAGGAGTGGATGAGTCTCTCCCTGATTTCCTTAAAGCTCTGGATGTTGTGGAGCTTCTTGGTTGACTCGTCTTTGCAACATCACGTGGACATGGGGGTAGTGCTGCTGGATCAGCAGACTGGGTGGTGGTTCCCCTCCTCAAAAAGGGACTGGAGGGAGTGAAACACTTACAGGAGCATCACTCTCCTCTGTCCTGGAACTCTGGAGCAGCTCTTTACCCTCACTAGGGTCCTTGACGGGTCACTGGAATTTGCTCATCCAGTCTACATGTGTTTGGTGGACTTGGAGAAGACTTTCGACCGTGTTCCTCGGGGGACACTGTGGGGGTGCTATGTGAGTATGGGACTGGGGGCCTGAGCTGTTCAGTCCATATACAAGAGGTGTGAGAGTTTGGCTCTCATTGCTGGTAGTAAGCTGGACCTCCAGGGCTGCTCGATGTCACAGATTCTGTTCAAAACTTTTATGGACAGAACTTCTCGATGCAGCCGGGGGCGGGGGAAGTCCGGTTCGGTGGCCTCAGGATTCACCTCTGCTCTTTGCAGATGATGTGGTCCTGTTGGCGTCATCGTGCCGTGATCTTCAGCTCTCACTGGAGCGGTTCGCAGCTGGGATGAGAACCAGCACCTCCAGGTCTGAGGTCATGGTCCATCCATCCATTTTCTTCTGCTTATCCGGGGTCGGGTCGCGGGGGTAGCAGCCTAAGTAGGGAGGCCCAGACTTCCCTCTCTCCAGCCACTTGGTCCAGCTCTTCCGGGGGAATCCCGAGGTGTTCCCAGGCCAGAGAAACATAGTCCCTCCAGCGTGTCCTGGATCTTCCTCTGGGCCTCCTTCCAGTGGGACGTGTCTGGAACACCTCACCAGGGAGGCGTCCAGGAGGCATCCTAACCAGATGCCCGAGCTACCTCAACTGGCTCCTCTCGACGTGGAGAAGCTGCGGCTCTACTCTGAGTCCCTCCCGGATGATCGAGCTTCTCACCCTGTCTCTAAGGGAGAGCCCAGACACCCTGCGGAGAAAACTCATTTCGGCCGCTTGTATCAGAGATCTCGTTCTTTCGGTCACAACCCAAAGCTCGTGACCATAGATGAGGGTAGGAACGTAGATCGATCGGTACATTGAGAGCTTCGCCTTTTGACTCAGCTCTCTCTTCACCACGACAGACCGGTACAGTGCCCGCTTCACTGCAGATGCTGCACCTATCCACCTATTGATCTCACGCTCCATTTTTCCATGGTCATGGTCCTGAACCAGAAAAGTGTGGATTGTTGTCTTCAGGTCGAGGGTGAGGTTCTGCCTCAACTGGAGGAGTTCACGTATCTCTGGGTTTGTTCACGAGTGACAGAAGAATGGAGCGTGAGATTGACAGATTGATGCAGCATCTGCAGTATTGTGGACTCTGTACCGGTCCATTGTGGTGAAGAGGGAGCTGAGCTGTAAGGCAAAGCTCTCTGTTTACTGGTGTTTCAGGAATGTTTGACTGGGAGGACACCCCGGGGAAGACCCAGGACACTCTGGAGAGACAATGTCTCTGTTGTCCTGGGAACACCTTGGAGTCCTCCCAGAAGAGCTGGAAGAGACTGTGGGGTGACGTCTGGACCTCCCTGCGCAAGCTGCTGCCCCCGGCTTCAGAACAAGATGATGGATGTAATAAAATATGAAGTAGTACAAAGTAATAGCTGTTTAGTTGTTTGTTTGTTTATTTGTTAAGTTGTTTACCAGCAGGTCCACCATGTTTGGTTTGTTGTTTCGGAGCGTCTTCACTGAGTGGAAGATGTCGACGCAGCGCTGCTGCCGCAACATCTCACACACGATACTGACGCTGCAGAACACGCCGCTGCGCCCACCACCGTTCCTGAGGAGGAGAAACAAACATCAGAGATGTTTTTCATTTGTCAACGATTGAACTTTACATAAAGTCAAAATCAGACTCTGAACAAAGAAGATGTCAAACAGAGAATATTAGTTGAGGAGGCCCGGCTCGGAGTTCTGCTGCTCTTTCAACAGGCTTCATGTTCTTAAAGACATCAGAGATGTTCTTTGTTCTCACCACTAGATGGAGACGAACACCATGAAAACAAACTGTCAGCGACTCAGAACCATCTGAACAAGGACAGAACCTGACGGACCTGATCCAAACCATGAGCCTCCACCACCGTGCTGAAGGCTGGGAGGGGCTGCAGAGCATTCTGGGTAAACATCTGTCCTCTGCTCTGGTTCTGGCCCAGAAGTCTTGTGGTTTCTTCAGATTAAACTAATTGATGCCGCCATGTTGTTTCTGAGAGAAGAGATCATGACCTTTGACCTATGACCTGCTGAGGTCTGTAGATTCTGACATGGGAGCTCAGCGCACAGTCTGACCTTCAGGGTGAATTTGCCAGGAAAGAAGTATTGTGTAGTACTAATTGCCGTTATAGTAAGTACTTTGTGTAGTACTATGCTGGTGAAGATTGTCAGTCATCCAGGACATGATGAATTCAAAAAACTTTCAATACAAAAACATCTGGACTTTATTTGTAACAGAAGACGTTTCACTCATCATCCGAGGAGCTTCCTCAATTCAAAGAGCAGAGATGAGGGACTCAGGTTCAGCAGAGATGTAGTACTAATTATAGTAATACTTGATAC